TAGATAGATAGATAGATAGATAGATAGATAGATAGATAGATAGATAGATAGATAGATAGATAGATAGATCAATCCTGATTCTGCCCACTATTTTCTGCCCATCTCCTGGTGAACCACTCTAGTGCAACTGGTCGCTCACAGAAAGTCTCACACCCCTGTTGAAGATAAGGCTGGTATTTACCAAGGTTCATCTTGGTGCTTTGGGGTCTCTGTGACTGTGCAGATTGTTCAAAATATGGGGAAGGGTCTGAGGAAGCCTCCCCATCCTCAAAACTCAGATAGCTTCACGGCACATTAGCCGCAAGACGTTCCATCACCTCCAGCTTGTGCAATTTTGCTTGGCCTCTTCTGGCTGCGTCGTTTCCGCTAGAGGACAGCCCATCCTTAGAAATGCCCGTAGAGTTTTGCTGAGCGGATTAACAGTTCCTTTCTTCCCCCGAGTTGCTTTAATCAGAATTCTCAAGAAGAGATAACAGCGCGGGGATTTCATTAACACAAATGTCTGCTGGCTTCCTGTCAGACTTTTATCTGGCTACGGTTTTCTGTTTTTAATAAAATAACATCAAGGAAACGGTGAGGAGTAAGATTCTCGGTGGACCCATTGTATCGTTGCCGTACTATAAAACAATATTAGTCGCTTGATAAAATAGATATTGTATCTCTAGCCAGGCTGGAACGTGTGGGGAGAAATCAGGTGGAGCAGATGGCCTGGCTTTTTTCTCTCTCTTCCGAAGCACCTATAATCTTCCCAGATCATGCTGTTATTAATTTAATTGTACAACTTAATAACTGCCAGGGCTTAAAATATAGCAATTTGGGAGGCTGGGGAATTAGGGTAGGAAGGACCCCCTGCAAGAGTTTCAGGAGGGCACTGAAAGCAGAGAAGAAATTACAAAATGGGGTCAAAGGGATCCGGTTTTTTTCAATTGAGATATCGAAAAGCTATAAAAGAGGAAGGCGAATAGTTGCTGTCCGTCAACAGGCAGTTGTGACTTCTCAACTTGGAGGCCGGGTTGGACAGGGCCTGATTAGGGCTTGGATGGGAGACCCACAGGAAGTCCACAGCTGGAGGCCCAGCTGAGATGTAGCTGAGATATACACTGGGAGGCTGTATTCTATTCAACCCAGAAAAGAACTTTCTTGGGGAGCATAAAACCAGGGTTGCTTCGGTCCCCAATACCTCTAAGGAAAAAGCAGTAGATGACCAAGGATGAAAAATACCTCTTTTGGTAAGGCTAAGACCCAAGGAGGCTTTGGGGTTCTGGGGCTCTTGGTGATTACACTTCTCGGCCAAATAAAGAAATCCAGGAAGAAATAGAAGCATGGCTCTACCATGTATATGAAACAGCTGCATTTGCTCATTGCTTACCTCCAACAGCTGTATGTAATGGGCAGAAGGAATAACCGTGAGGAACAGAAGAAAGAGCTGCTACCGAGGCAGCAATCAGATAAGAGAAATCGGAGTCCGGGCCAGAACTGTAACCTGAGGAAGCGTCTCCGAGAAGATCCTCCCTAGTTCTCAGGAAGATAAAGGGAGGGAGCAGGGAAACACAATCAGACTTGCAAGATTCTGTTACTATACTTTTACAATAAAAGTATTATTATTATTATTATTATTATTATTATTATTATTATTATTATTATTATTA